TTTCCTTTCCTTTCCTTTCCTTTCCTTTCCTTTCCTTTCCTTTCCTTTCCTTTCCTTTCCTTTCCTTTCCTTCTCTTCAACTATTTCTTCCAATGTCCTCATCCCCATTCATTTTGTTCACACTTTTCAGCTTTCCTTATTCTTCCTCTTACCCAGCTCCATTCCCTTTTCCTTTTTTGCTGTTTCTGCTGGAAGGATAGAGGGCAATGTGCTTGAGAGAGTGTAGTTTGTGTATATGAATTTGAATAGTTGTTATATGCTGGTGGGAACCAAATGTTAACAGTAAGGTACTGGTTTTTACAGGCAATGCATTTTACTTTATAGTTATTAATTCAATGTTTTTATTTATTCCCTAGTTTTGCCCCAGTTTTGGAAAGTGGCTTCTGGCAGACATATAGACATACAGTACATACATACATACATACATACATACATACACATATACAAGTGGGTTGCATGCACACATTTATAAGTGTGTGTGTGTGTGTAGGCAATTCCAAGATTGGTTTCAGATGAAGATGGCAGCCCTGGACTGACAAGGTAGAGAAGTTGTGCATTGCATTAGGATTTTTATATATTTTTTCCTGTGTACTCTGAGTAGGGAAAATATTGTGTTAAATACTGGGTTGTTTTCATTTCAAATAAGCACAATTAATGTAATATATTATTATATGTAAAATTAGATCTTAGTGGCATATTAAATAAAATACTTTCTGATGCCTCAGATGTTACATATCTTTACAATTCATTTTTAAAAAGACATGGGTTATTCACATAGACAGTCCTATGGCTTTGGCATAAGAATATTATGCCAAGTTAACACATGTGAGATCCCAGAGAGATGAGGCAGCTATGCCAGGGTCTTTTCTCACAGCGCCCATTGGCAATGTCATTACTTATCAATAACAGCATTCTCAGTTATGTTCCCTCATATGGAAATGTGACAGAATACAAATGGTTGCAGACATCACTGCTGAAGAGTAGGGTTGCAAGAGGCTCTAAATGAGAATGCCACAATGATGTCACTCTGCCTGGAATATGCATATACTCCATACACGAGCCAAATAACTTTATTGCTATTATTCTGCTTAACCCCTGGCAGGCACTTGCCATTTTGCCCATTTCAGCTTTATTCAACCAAGTTAATTTTTGGTGAGTTCTTGGTGTCCTCTGAGCTTGGTTGTTTTCCAGCTGACATTTCATTACCAAGCTAGGCAACAACATCAGTATATAGGAGGATGGAGTTGGTTGTTTATGTATTCTAGCTTGCCTTGCCAGACTCTATTCTTCTATGTACTCACAATGCTACCTAACCTTATAATGAAATGTCTGCAGGAAAACAAGCAAGCTCAGAGAACAACAAGAACCCAACAGTTCAACCTTGAACTAGATATAACTTTACTATTCGAGTTAATTTTGTCAATAGTGTCCAAGAAGAACAAAACTAACCAGATGAGATCCTCAACTGGATCTCTAGTGCTACTAATTTGGTCCTTTTCAATTTTTTTTTTTATCTGTGCTCAGTCGTTACCGACTCTGCAGTGACTGCTTGGACGAGTCCTTGCAGTTTTCAAGGCAAGTGTTTCAGAAGTGGTTTGCCAGATCCTCCTTCCTAGAGCAGAGCCCAGCTGTCGCGCACAGGAGGCGGGGTTTCCGTTGCTTCGTGCCCTTTTCGGGCATGCGCGGGTTTTTTTTGTGCTTACCAGCAACTGCT